CCGGGCCCTGGCGGGGGGGGCACCGGGCAGCCCCACAGCGGGGCCGCCCTGGCCCTGCGCCCAGCAGGGTCCCGCGGGGCGGCTCTGCGAGGGGGCCAGACCCGGCCCGTGCCCTGTGCTGGCAGGGGACAGACGGGGTGACACGGGGACGGGGTGACACCGGGACGGGGTCCCCGCAGCGGGGCAGGACCCCCCTTACCCACCCCGGCTGCTGTGGTCGGGGGCGCTGGGAAGGGCCCCCCAGGCCCCTCGGCTGCCGTTTGTCCCCACGGGGGACGGGTGGCCGCTCTGCCGCGTCTGTGCCGGGGGGACACGCACGGGCGGTGACAAACCCGCTCCTCAAACACACACACACGGGGCACGTTCCTGCTTGGAGGAGTCTTGTCGAGTGACGAGATCCATCCTGGGGGCCACTGCTTGAAGCCCCTTCCCCACTAGAAGGGGAAAAAAACCTCTCTCCGAGGTCTCTCCGTCTGGAAATCCAGTTCGTTGCGCTGAGCGTGACAAGTAAAAGCAGAACCAAGCTGCACTCGTTCCTTCTCTGCCTTTTTTCCCTGCCGCGGAGCTGCTCCGCAAGGTTTTCCTCAGGACTAAACGTGAAGCCGCCCGGGGCCTCGAGTCCTGCTCTTTGTGCCGAGGATGGAAGGGAGACCTCGGGCGCCAGGGCTGGAATTGTGCAGGGAAGCGCCCTGGGGTTGGGAGCGGTCCCGGAGGGGACGCGGAGCTGCCGCCGGGAGCTGGACAACGTGGGCAGGAGCTGGGAGGAGGGGGCGTTCGATGCGGCCCTGCTGCGAAGGAGGGTCACGGCCCGCGGAGGACGTGAAGGGTAGCGAGGGAAGGAGCAAACCAGGCCCCTCGGTGCCTCCCAGTGCGTGTCCGGGGCTGGCCGGGCCGGGAGCGCTTGGGCCGCTTCTCTGTCCCGCTACGACGGCGGCTCCGTCGCATCCCGGGATGAGCGCGGGCTCCATCCACATGCGGAGCCCCCTCCGCTGCCGACCCATTCCCAGTGTGTTTGGGAATGACATTGGAAGACGTGAGGCTCTGAAAGCGGTGAGGAAGGGGTATAAATAGGGCCCTCAGCGCTCAGAAGACACTGGTCGTGCAAGCCCTGAAAACACCAGACTGCCAACCGGGGGAAGAACAAGCCAAGCCAAGTGTCCCGGGGTCCCTAGACTGAGGGTTCAAGCACACGCTCCAAAAGAGGATTTGGCATCGCTGTTTAAAGCTAATTCAAAGCTGCCTCTCCCTTTGGTTTAAGTTGATTTATCGAGTTAAGATCAATTAGCTCTAAATAAAGCTTAAATGAGATTACGCGTTTCCTGGTACGCTGCTCAGCGCAAGTACCGGTAAAAGACGTGAGCGCCGCTTCCCAGGGTATCTTCTAAACACACAGCTCCAGCCCTCGGGATGCGCCAGGCCCCAAGGCAAATCCCGGTGTCCTGGCACAGCCCTGGCACCGGCTGGGTCCCTGGGCCCTGCTCGGGCTCTGCTCCTCGGAGCATCCTCTCCGGAGCTGGAAATTAAGTTCCTCTTCCTGGCATTTCCCTGCTCCTCCATGAGGCAATTTGTGACTCTGTCTTTTCTCGCTTTCCTTTTCTTCCCTCCTCCCTGCCTCCGTCTTGCATTTTTACTCCAAGCAGGGCTGTTGTGCGGAGCCAGGAGCTCTGGGAGCACCGGGACCAGGTCGTGTCTGCGGGGAGGCCCGGGAACGTCAGGGGCAGGTTGTGCTGCTGGGCACAGGGGCTGCTCTGGCGCCCGGCTCCTTCCCGCTGGGAAGCGCAGGGGAGGTCGGTGTTTCCAGGAGGCCCCCCCTGCCCTGCCCCTTGCAGCTCACATGGGAATGGCCGCAGGTGGCCCCAGCTCCGGCCGCTCCGGCCGCACGGCGCGGGCCGGTGCCAAGAGCTGCTCTTCCGCATCGGCCTCGCGCTCCCGCCGATTCCCATCCCGGCTTTTGGGCTCTCCGGTGGGAAGCGCGTGGCCGAGTTCCTGCAGGAGGGACCTACAAACCGGCAGAGCCAGAGGTTTTTAAACAAGCTTCGTGGCTCCCCTTGTCCCAGCTGGAATTAGCTCCCTCCTCAGCAGGGCTTTGCCTCCCATCTGAGCGTGTAAATAGCAGCTGTTCCCGGCGCTTGGCACGGCCAGCGCTCCAGGCGCTGGGAACGGCTGCCGGGTGTTTTCCTCGGCGAGGAGGCAGCCGCATCCCGGGGCCTGGACACGGGAGAGGCGGCGGAGACGGGAACCGGGACGCTCCGAAGAGCAGCCCCGGGGACGGTTCTGAGAGG